TTAGTATGTTACTTATCCGTAATTGTCGAGCAGGTTGTTGATTTTTGCTTATCAGCATCCACTTTGTCTTCTTGAAGTTGAGGCTCAGGCCGTATTCCTCACTAACTGAATAAAGTCTTTCTATTACTTGTTGTAATTCGTCTATGGTTAACTCGCCGTTTATTTTTATGCCCCCATTTGCATTTTCCGTACATTTGTTAAATATTTCCTCGGAATACATATTGAATAGGAGTGGGGATAATATACACCCCTGATGGACACCTCTTTTGATCTGAATGTCCTTGTCGTCAATACCTGTCTTTCGCAGAATACCTATCAATTGTTCATGATTGACATTGTCAAATGCTTTTCTAAAATCCACAAAGCACAAATACACGTCCTTATCAACGTCTCTACACCGCTGTATAAGCACCTGGAGAGCGAAAATTGCTTATCTAGTTCCAAGTGCTTTCCGAAAACCAAACTGCGATCTATCAATATTTGACTCACATTTATCATATGATCTATGAATGATCTTACTGAACGCTTTAGTGACATAATTGATCAAGCTTATAAGCCGGTAGTCATCACAAATCTGGGCATTTGGTTTCTTCGGGATTGTAATAAATGTTGACTGCAGCCAGTTCTCCGGGATTTTACCGTTATTATATATGTTGTTAAAAAGTACAACTAGATTATCAAGGAACTGTACATAGGATCTTTAATATTTCGCAGGGTACATTGTCCGGACCGGCTTATTGTTTTTTAGTGCTGCAATCGTATCTTCTATCTCCGATTTAAGGATTGAAGGTCCTGTTTCTCCTTCGCCATATAGATGATCATCAGTCCTGTCAGATGCAAATAATTTTTCTATGTATGATTTCCATGTTTTTAAGATCGTTGATGGTTCCGAGATAAGATTTCCATCGCTATCTTTTATGCTGTTGGGTGACTTATTGAATTTCCTCTGGTTTGTCATCGATTTTATTTTTTTGTGCATATTGTAACTGTCGTATTTTCGTTCGTATTATTCTATTTCCCTGCATTCGTTGGAAAACCATTTTTCTTTGGCTTCTCGAATTTTCGATCTTATGGTTTTGTGGATCTGCTGGTATTTTTCTGCATTTTTATTCTTGAATTTACGTCTTTCATCCATCATATCCGTTATCTCATCAGACATCCATTCTTTCTTTTTCCGTCGGTCACGCTTTAATAGAGTCGCGCATGTTGTTTGGATTGCTTCCCTCGATTTATCTCATCTTTCTATTATGTCCGACGTGTTCTCGTTAATGTCCTTTATTTTCTTTCCTAGTTATTCTCGTACTTTTATTTCGGTTTGTGGGTTAGTGAGTTTTTTAATATCGATTGTGTTTAAATTAGATCTTTTTTCGAGCCGTTTTACTCTCATGACCATTCTGCATACCAACAAATTGTGGTCCGTAGGAACATCGGCACCTGGGTACGTTTTTGATGATTTTATCATGTTTTTATATCTTGTTGGTACTGCTACATAATCTATCTGATTTCTAATGATGTTGTCAGGTGAGTCAGCGGGGGATTTCCATGTGTAAAGTCGACGTTTGGGGAGCTTAAAGAGTATATTACTTAACAGCAGGTTATATTCCTGGCAGAAGCATATAAGTCTATCACCTCTATCGTTTCTCTTCCCTATGCCGAAGTTTCCCACGATCTCATTCACCTTGCCCCTGCCAACCTTTGCATTGAAATCTCCCATCACTATTGTTACTTCATGTTTAAAACTTGCATACTGCTATATAATGCTTCGAATGAATCTTTATAAGCCGTAGTACATTTGATCCCAGATAATAACTGAACTAGTTTGCATCACTGCAACCATTACACTTCTTTTTTACTGTTACATATTGTATTTGCTTTGATATTAACGTTAAATGGCAGTCTGATATTGAATGTGCTTCTAACCTTCTAACAATTTTACGAATCAACAACTGTAAGTTGCCTACATTTGGCGCAACTCAACGACGGTCAATCATTTACTTTACTGTCATTTATCTGTGACCAAATATATTGCAAATAGTATAAGAATAAGAATAACGTGCATGAGGTATGAAATTATAGAAAATATTCCTCTCCAATATATTTCAACATTTCCAGACTAACACAACCGCGCTCAGGAGCTTTCCCAGTCTTTATATTTCTTATTGTTTCTTCTAATTCCTCTGACTGTATACAAGTAGCTTCCTCAGTGTTTTCCTCTGCTCCAACAATTGCGTTTGTTTCATTATCCTTTGCTTTTCTTTGCTCTCCTTTTAACAGCGGTTCGAAATGTTCCCTCCGTATTTTCATTATATCTTTGTCGTCGGTTAATATTGTTCCGTTTTTGGGTATTATTTGTTTTAGCTTTATTTCTTTTTTGATTCGAAGATTTTTCAGTGTTTCATAAAAGGATTTTACATTTTTTTAATGTGTTCTTCCATTTTTCTCAGAAATTTTTATTCTCTTTATTTTGTATCTTTCATATTTTTATTGCGTTTTATCTTAAAGCTATGTATTATTTCCACGATGGTGTCTATTTTTCTTTTCAGACTAGTTTACCTGTATTTATCATCACCTATCTAAACTTTTCACATTCTTCTTTTGTCATTTTTATCGTTTCTCCTTATTTGTTTATTTCCTTCTATAACTCCTCCTTGTATCTGATTTTCGTTGATTCTTCCCTTAGTATTTTATATCCTTGTATTTCTTATTCTTATCCTCTATGGTTTTTATTTCTATTTTTTTGCTGTTAAATGTAATTTTCAGTAGTGTCACTGCCTATTTCATAGCTCCTTCTCTCCATTAAGTATGTCTATTGTCCAGTTTATCTCTGCCTTTTGCACTATAATATAGTCAATAATTGATTGTTCGTTTATTGATATACTTCTATTGTAATCCTATGTATCTTTGTTATAGTATCTGCAGAGGTGTTTTCAATATTTTATGTACATTCACCACTACTGGATTATGGCATGAGGTCCCAAACAGCACAAGTACGTCCCATGGACGTCCAAAGGATGTGCCTCATTAAATGTCCGGACATCCCACGGACATCCGTTTACATAATTTGGACGTCCCCGGGACGTCCAATAAGAGCTAAATGTTACCAAAAAGTACGTCCCCTGGACGTCCCAGGGATGTTCATGGGGACGTACATAGTACATATACAGAACTTAATACGGACTTATATAGGACCCATCGAGCAATAAGACAAAAGAGGGAATGTAAAGGTAGTGGGGGTAAACATATTGATAGACAGGAAGTGCCATCTTGAGAGGCCACTTTAGACAAGGATAGACAGTCTCTTTCCTTGTTTAAGAAGTCAAATTTAGTTAGGTTATGTTATTGTTTGTCCCAACTGTCACATGAAATTTTATTTATATTGAAATCTTTTACCAATTGTGTCACTTTTTAGACTATTATAGTTAATATTTAATTAAAACTTTCTCGTCTGAAAAATATTTTATAGCTATTGTTAATAAGTGTTGGAAAATTTAAATTTAGCGCCTTTGCATTTCCGGATATGTCCGCCATCAGAGGCCACTTTTTTGGTCTCCTTTTCATAACGATTAGATTCCCTCTTTTATCTTTTTGCTCGATGATAGGACCTAAGAAGGATGCATTGGGGACATCTATTGTACGTCCACATGGACTAATATAGGACCTAAATGAGGATGTATACAGGACCTAAAGGGAACTTAAAATTAATAAAATGAAAAGCAAAAATAAATGGGATTTTTATTGTGTACTTATATTAACATATGTATTTAAATTTATAGTATTTTTTAAGCACATTACTCCTACTTACTTTACAAATGTAGCAACACACCACAACCACAAAAATTACCTATAAAAGTCCTATATACCTACTTAATGTCTATAATAATAAATTACCAAACTATAAACTAGTATCGAAAGCAATAAACTAATTCTAATTACACCCACAACCACAATGATTATAATTCGAGAAATAAACGAGATAAATAGAAGCGTCGTTAAAACATAACCACATTCTTCTTTTATCTCCTAATTTTTAAATTTCAGTTCCACTACAGAACAAAATTTTAGAGATACAGCTCTGCTATAGGATAAAGATTTTTCTCTAAAAGGAGCCTCTGTCTGTTTTCGTATAAATTAATGGTATTTAAAACTAAATATAACTTTTTAAAATAAAGTTTAGTAGGAAGATTATATTTTGTAAAAAATATGCTTAAGTAAAAAAATTACACAGTTAACACCTAGAAAACGTCTCTCATACATCCCTAATGGGACGTCCCTTGGACGACCTTATGGGACGTCTCTGGTATGTCCGACTAGAAATATCCCTTGGACGTCCCTCGGACGTCCAAAAGAAGTCCCGGGACGTTTGGACCTTAAAACGACATAAAATGGACGTCCCAGGGATGTCCTGTGCTGTCTGGGGTTGCTCCATAACAGGTGTTCACTGTTGTAATAAAGTTCATCTCACTAGTCCCTCTCAAAAAATATGTTTATAACTTTATTATTATTTCCAACATTATCAAATTATCATTGTTATCTCCTGGTTTAAAGTATATTTTGAAAGAGCCTAACATGGAGTAATTCTTCTTTTTTTTAATTATTGCCTTAAGAATCTATGTCCATTTACCAACTTACATATTATTTAAATTTTAATAATGATTAAGTAATTTAAACATTGTAATCATCATAACGATTTGTTCTATTTGCCACATTTGAATCGATGTTTTTCCCGCGCATTTCGTTCAAGTCACACATACCAACAGCATTTTTCACACTTCACACATTTCGATATAGGTATCACAAAATAAAAGCAATTCGCTTTCCATTATTTTTAAGTGATACCATAGCTGATAACTGGAAACATTATGTTCCCACTTCTGCTTTTTCTTGAACAAATTGAACTAAAAATATTTTTAAATTTGTAGGAATATAGGCAACCAACAATTCGTACATATCCACGCAAACAAAAATAATCTTATCTCTATAAATTAGTAGCTTCCCACTATACGCGATAAGCACGCATTTTATTTCAAAACATGTTTTTATTTACTTAAAAATTCAATTCTTGAAATGTTAGACATAAACGTGACGAAAGATAAGTTGTAATCAGGCGAATCCCATTTTAATATAAGAGCAAAACAAATTAACAGCTGGCTAGTTATTTGAGTATTTAGCAAACGTACGCGTAAAGAACAGTTATTTTTACTGACGTTTTCCTGTTTAACCTTCATAAAAGTGAATTTTCTTTTGCCATATTCAGAAATTGACATATGTCAGTGTCAGTGACTATTTGTCAGTGCAGTGAAGAGTGTAGTTATCAAAATCAAAACAAAACTGTTAAAGAATTATAGAAGACAGAAGAACAAAAAATGAAGAAACTGGATCCTATCACTGAGAGAGATTTAATATTTCACGAACTAATTGAGGAATGTAAACATGCAGTACCTGGCGCAATGCTACCCTATGGCCTTCGTAATAGACTAGAAAAGTGTTCCCCAGAAGCTAGAAGGGACATAGTGAATAGAGTGAAAAAAGGTTGTTCCCCCTTGTTTATCGCTTGCAAAAAAGGACAGACGGAAATTGTTGAATATCTTATTAACGTTTGTTCAGCGGATGTTGAGCAGAAAGGACTGTATGAAGTCCAGGAGGATAGGTGAGTTATGTGATCAATTTTTTAAACAATGTTTACTATTTATCCAATAAGTGTTGTAATATTTATAATGTGATATTGATTTGAGGACAATTTCCTTTAAGTTAAACTATTATTTGGTTTAATTAACACCTTTATTTCAAGTAGTTACTTAGTTGACTAAGTTGAATAAGTTTTCTCTCTATATTCTGTCTCCTCAAATACACCTTGAATAGAATCAATAATATTCTATGCTATTTCTTGGTAGGTACTTTAAAACAACTTTTAATAAACTTGCTTCTGCTTTCTTTATATTATTTTAAATATTGCAGTGTTTGATCAGAACATTCTGGGATTAAATGCACTTGTTTTATGAGTAGAAATGATAAACTCTATTTGCATATGCACTATGTAATTTTATATCTATTAAATCATGTGTTAACTGTTGGTAACGTTAATACTTGAAAGACAAATAAAGAGTTTTATCAAATATCTTATGTATCTTATATCTTAGTATGAGAGGACAAGTGAATCGTTGTAAACAAAAACAGTGTAAGTCATGAAAACCATTTTTGCAGAAAACTGGAAAAAACTGTATAACTCTGTTTTACTTATTTAAATAAATACCAAAAAATTTGGGAGAGTTACATGTGATATTAGATAGTCCTGAGTACAAAATAATGTGTATATAATATGTATATGATATAAATATTCAAGTTTTGTTAACTTAGAACTTTTTTATATAGACTTGCGTCCAAATATTTTATAGTCTTTCCTGCATAATTACTTTCTTTTAATGGATAACTTTCCATATGTTGTCTTATTAGTAACCTGGTATGACCACTGATTGCATTAGGGCTCATTTTTTCCATGAAGATCCTTCGGAGTTTTACCCATTAACAATAATGAATCAAGCCTTCTAATATAACTTATTTTAATGCCATATAGCAACTTAAATGCTTCTAAACATACCTTTTCTCTGGTTTCACCCACAAATACCTTGTATGTAAAATAAACATTATGAGCAGCCCTAGCTTCTGCACCTTTTTTCTGGGTCTATGGGTTTTTACATTGTTGCAGGTAATCAATGATTGTAAAAAATTATCCTGCTCATTCTTATTTTCTAGTGTTCTCAAATGAACGAATATCTCTTCAGCTTGATTGTGCAAGCAGTCTGTAGAGGTATGCTTACATCTGAAATAAAAGAGTCTAGATGAAATAAACCCAAGTTTATTACATAAAACATATAATTGGTACAATGCCAACATTGTATTACTTAATTGAATGTTATGGTTATTTTAATACCTGTTGTAATATTTTATTATCGAGCTATATAGACTGCAAAACGTATCTTACCTGCAATTAGTGCCAACAGTGATGGCTGGTACCTTTGTAATCAATGTACTCTTCACCTTTGACTCTAGAATTTCTCACGATAAATCTTTTCCACTTAGTCTTATGTTTTAAACATATAGGTTCCTGTTATAAAGATCCATACTAGTCAAAACAACTGTCTTGTGTCTGGCCGGATGAATGTCACGAAATAAAGCTTATTTCCTTGGGCTAATTTGCCAAAATTTAAATATGCACCAATAAGTTCTGTATGTGTTGAAATAACTTTTTCTACTTTTAAATACTCTGTCACTCCTCCAAGTGACAGAAGTCCCATCTCTCTGAAAATTTATACTATGTACGTTAGATGCCTTTTTGGACATGTTACAGTAAATGCTTACTAATATAAAATAAAACTTTCCGAAACTGATATATGTGAATGTAATGGCAGTTATGACGATCTTAACCACTGGATGTTTCAATGTCGGTATAATCAAGAAGCCATAACATTTTTATTTCAAGCCATCTCCCAACAAAAAATCATACTGCCGCAGAATGTTGCTTCTATTGTCTATTTAGGTAGTCGAAATTCAACTATAAGATCAATTTTATGGGAATTTTTCAAACGTACTAAACGGAAAATCTAAACTGCCCTGTTCAGTGTTGTTGTGTGAATTCGAAATGGTAGGACGTTAGTTGTTGTATTTCCCATTGTCTTTCCTTTTATGTCATTTACCTTTAACCGTTTGTGTTAAAAAAAAAGTCGCTATGAAGGGTACCTTAGCGTGAAGCGTATGTTCCTGTTCAATCCTTTTTGTATAGTCACACACTAGTGTTTTCAATGGGAAGGTTAGGAAATTGAGTGAATGTGGTATGAATGAACGAACGGTTAGGAAATTGTCATGAATTTTAAGGAAGTTTAGGAGATTGTTTTTATGTATTCAACCTATATTGTCTGGCTAAATAGGTCTTGTACCTAAGGCAAAAAAAAAATACTTTTAAATATATGGACACGTATAGACGACAACTAGTTTTGAGATTTTCGGAGTAAGTAGCGGCCAAATTATCAAAAAGAATATCTTGAGACATCGACCAAAGCTCGAACCCAACAGCAGACGCAGTGGTCATCTTGAATGGATGTTTATCAACAAAATAATCTGGATTTGGAATCTTTTTACTGAAATTTCAAAAGTATTGCCTGGATTTAGAACTAAGGTATATAGATGAGGAAGTTTATCAGAAAAGTATTCCTCTAGACGTTCCTTTGGCTTGTGACAATGTTTTTCTTCGATGCTACCATTCAATGAATTTCTAAGCCTGAAGATAAAATGCAATTTACGATCGTTTCCACATTGATCAGGACCAAACATAGAAAATTATTCAGATTCTTGGATTCTGGCCCATCACTTAGTAATGTTAAGTAAGATCCTCGTCATTCTTGGCCTTCTTGTAACAGTACTTGATACTGTAAGATCAATGGCTTATCCGCAAATACAAACGGTTTTGATAGATATCCTGAAATCGTTGCATGGTTGGCTTTAGTTTTGAGTACCAAACCACTGTCATTGGATAAGCTATCTTAATTTCCAATAACTAGTGGCTTGCCAATAATGTCATTAAAAATTAAAACCAAATCTATTTAGCAATTTTTATTTTCTTTTCAAGTTGACCTAATTTTGACTATATTACTCAATAAAGCTAATCTTCAACATTTGCAAACTCAAATTTTATTTACAACTAGTACTATATGCTTATCTTTGACCTTTAAAAGATATTTACTGTTTCAAAAATTGTATCTTTCTATGGGGAATTTCACAATTGCCTTATTTGTGCACTACCTTGATAAGCATCTTAAAAGTTATAATTTTCTTTTTGATAACAAATTGCATGCAGTTAATATGTGCACATTTATTAACGATTAGACAAAGTATGTTCTTAGATAAAATTAACGTCAGAATTTAAAAGTATTACATGAAATTTAAAGCAAGACAGAAATGATGCAATGACTACAGAAATGACATGGTGCTTAGTTCTATCTTACAAAACTAGAATTTAGGACATGTATTTGTTCTTTTATAGCTAGACAGAAATGTCTACAAAGGGATTCCCGATTGAATAGAAGGGCATATGAATAACTCATAAAAGATGCAAAGAAAATATGTAGAAGGAAAAAGAGAGAAATGTTGAATAGAAAAATACCACAAATTACAGATATTAATAACAGAAGAGAGTCTAGAAAGTTTTACAAGGAAACCAAGCAATACACCCAAGGATACATTACAAGATCAACAGTTTGCAAGAACGAAAATGGGGTAATTATCATTGAGAAAGAGGAAATAATGAAAAGGTGGAAGGAGCATTTTCAAGAGCTGTTAAATCCTGAAAAAGAACAAAACGAAGATGAAGAAATAATTTACCACACAGCAGACTAGTTGAGCAACCAACATTGGAAGAAACGATAAATGTCATAAAACATCTAAAAAATAACTAAGCACCTGACACAGATGGAATAACTGCAGAACTGATAAAGAATGGTGGACATGCACTATGGAGGCGTATCCACAAACTAATCAACCGAATATGGACACTAGAAGTCATCCCAGAAGATTGGAAAGTAGGAATCATACTTTCTATGTACAAAGGGGGAGACAAATGATTCTGATCATTTTCGGAGGAGATGATTGGTGAATACCAATGTGGCTTCAGACCAAAGAGGTCAACTATAGACCAGATACATAATAATATGTTAACAGGTATACATGAAAAATGTGTTGAATATAACATATCTATTTACAACTTGTATATCGATTTCAAACAGGCGTTTGATGGAGTAGATCAACAAAAGATGTTGAAGCTACTATCTATGTTAGGGATACCCAATAAGTTCGTTAAATTTATACGAATTACTCTGGAGGGTTCCAAAGCTATGGTGAGAATAGATTGAGATATTGCAGGTCTTTGATATTGAAAATGGAGTTAGACAAGGTGATACCTTATCAGCAACACTTTTTAATCTAACTTTAGAAGCTGTTGTTAAGCTGTACAGCCGTTTATATCCACTGAAAAGTGGATATAAACGGCTGTATTAATACAAGATCAATGCGCATATGCGGATGATGTTGCCATAATAAGCCGCAACAAAAGGGTATTAAGCGAAAAATTATAGAACTGAAACGAGAAGCTGCTACGTTTGGTCTATATATAAATGAAAGCGAAACAAAATATATGGAGTGCACAAAATCAAATCAACATGAGAATCTGAAGGTAGACAACCATACCTACAAATATACATCGACTTTTCCCTACCTAGGCTCAATAATAAATGACAACAACATCAGTTAAGAAATACAAGTACGGATTCTTAGCGGTAATAACTGTCTAAGCTTAGAATCTACAAAACAGTAATTAAACCAGTGGTCACATATGGATGTGGAACGTGGATCCTCTCAACCACTGATGAAAATCAACTGAGGAAGATATTTGGACCAACCCAATGCAGCCATGGTTCGTGGAGAATTAAAATGAACCACGTGCTGGATGAACTAATGCAGAGCGCAGATATTGTTAGATTTGTAAAGTCACAAAAACTAAACTGGCTTGGTCAGAAAATTTTAGAGAAGCAGGACTACAAGGGGTCCCAAAAAAAAGGAAGAACACACAAAGAAGTGGATCACTGAAGCAATCATTAAGTT